AAAATTGTGTAGATCACCGGAAATTTTTCGGAAAATAAACTTGCCCCTTATTTTTAGGACATGTCACACGACTAATAGTTTCTAATAATATTACATAGTATGTGTAACGATTATTAAAGGAGTAAAACAAATTCCGATTTTGGAATATTTGGAAAATCTTTATTTATAATGTTAAATCTGTGTTGACAACAATCAAAAAAAATATTATATTATTTAATGGTAGAGTAACTACTAAAACAAACACCAATTATATAATAAATAATAAAAAAGCCAAATTATTTAAAGCTCGTACATTCTCTTTCATTTAAAATAGCTTCAGGGTGCTGAACTAGTAGATTCAAATGACAAGGTTATTGGTTGCGTTACTTGTAATAATTATGATAGTTATACAAATGAGACTTCAAATTTACAAAGGCATGCCTGTGACAAGTCAAAAATTACTCCATTTTTGAGAAAAGAAATTCCAGCAAATGTTAAAGAATCAACAAAAAATTTGGACACGGGTTAAGGGATTTTGTGAAATTGGTTGGGGCTTGGACTCAATCATTATTATCTATATAGGATTCTAACAGGCAAGAAGTTGATTTTGTTGCAATGAACAATAAACGTAAATGGTTGTTTGGATGGATGGGCAAATCTTTGGGCGCTGGAAAATCATTCATCATAAAACTTTGTGCTCGTATATATAGATGCAAGCATATATTGACATTGGATTTCTAGTATATAAAATAATTTGCTATTGGCTTATGTGATGTGGAATTCTCCTTGCATTTGACCTTCTTTTTTACCCAATCTTCAATATGATTGGCCGGCACTTCAATAAAAAACGCGCACGTTCTTTTTTGTCGAAAAAGATCTTGGTATTACCAAACACAGACCACGACTTACCAATTCGAGTTAAAGCAACATTCGCAGTTCATCGCAAAGGTGCACAAATGAACTGAAGAATCACATAATTACCACATGTGGAAATAGATATTTCTCAAATTAGAGTAGCATTTGATGTTATCCAATTAAGGTTATGGGCGAAACCTCCAGGAATCAATCAACAGAATTTTTACAGGTTACACATTAATTGTTTATTAGAGTTTCGGCAGAGTTTCGCATTTGTGGGTTTTGTCAATTGTCAGAGTTTTGACAAAGTAATATATACTAATTGTTCATTAGAGTTTCGACAGAGTTTCGACAGTCACTAAGAGGTTTCGGCAAGCAACTTACTTCCAATGCTCATCATTGAATAACTAAAGATTCATGTAATTACATTGATACAATGAGAAGATGACTAATTTGTAATTACAAACCAAAGTTCTTATTTAGAAGGTGTTTTCTCTTTCTAAATTAAGGATAATAATTCAACTTGCAAAAGGCAAAGTAAGAATTTATTAACAGAAATAATAATAATAATTATTATTATTATTATCCTGCAGAAACCACATGATTGTGGTCACCATTTCTTAAAAACATGAATGTAGATGTTACACAGGAATAAAGTCACGACTTTTGGAGGTTTGATCAACATCATCAAAAGAAAAATTATGAAAAAAAAATTTTTCAAGTATAAAAAAATAAATTCAAAATAATCAAGATAACAATTGGTAATAATGTCAGATACTCCTATTAAAGCAGAAGAAAAAAACAATGATAATACAATAATTCAAGAAAGCGAAGAAAATGCTAATAAAGATAGTAAAATTGTAGAAGAGGAAAGTATAAAACAAGATGATAATGATAAAAAATCGGCAACCACTGCCACCATTACCACTAGTGGTGATACCGCTACTGCTAAAAAAAATGCAACAGTTGAAAGTGGGGAGGACTCAGATTTAGACGATGATGATATGCCCGAGCTAGCAGAAGAACAAGGAGTATTACCACCTGATATTTCATCATTGAATTTTGAAAATATTCTTGGCGGCGGTGGCAGTGGTGGTTCTGCAAAAAATCAAACTCGTGGAGAAAAAAAAGCTCGAAAAGCAATGCAAAAGTTGGGATTGGTACCTGTTCCTGGTATCACTAGAGTTACAATCAAAAGAGCAAAAAATGTAAGATTGAAATTATCAATTAGTTAACATATGAATTATTAATTATTTATTTATTTATTGAATATTATTAATTAATATATTATTTAGATGCTTTTCGTTGTTGCTAATGCTGACGTTTACAAATCATCGAATTCTGATTGTTACATTGTATTTGGTGAAGCCAAGGCCGAAGACCTCAATTCTCAAGCTCAAGCAAATGCTGCGCAACAATTTCAAAATTCTGCTGAAACTACAACTGCTGCTGCTACATCTAAAGAAATTGCTAAAGTCGAAGAATCAATCGAAGAAGATTCAACGGCTATTGATGAAACTAATGTAGAAGCTAAAGATATTGAATTGGTTATGCAACAGACTGTAAGTATAGAAATAAGGAGTAGTAAAGGGAGAAGAGGTTTAGGGATGAATTGTGAGGTTGGAAAAGTAAAACTTTATTTATTTATACATTTATTTTTTTTTTTAGAATTGTTCTCGTGCTAGAGCTGTTAAAGCTCTAAAGAATAACAAAAACGATATTATTAATGCTATTATGGTAATGTGATAATATGTTATATTATAATATGGTAAATATATATTGCAATGTGAATTATTAATTTATTAATTTATTTTTTTATAGGCGTTACAATAAATATATTATATTTCCTTCTCTATATATATGTGTATATATATATATTGTTAATTAAATAATTTATAATTTTTATTTGCTATAATTTATTTATTTATAAATGTCATTATGATAGCATCACAACTTCCAATTATTGTGATTGTTATTAAAAACATTAAAGATTATCCAAACTTTTTCACAATTTTTATTTTCCAATTTACTCCATCAAAAAAACCTCAATCATAAACAATAATGGCATAACAACCAATAATGTGCCATTAGCCAATGCACCTAATAATGACATAACATCAGCAAAATAAGGTATGAATATTGCAATATAAACTTCCATGGCAGCAGTTACAACACGTAACAATGACCAATAAATGAATTCTCATAGTTGACCCAATTTATTCTTGTTGATATTAAAATAATTTTCTAATTCCAATGAGGATGCTGTCTGATAAATTGGCAATGCAAATATCACATGTAGTGTTATTGATATTATTATAATGTTTATTTAATATTCCATCAGGTAAATTTAAATAAATTGGTGATTTGACATTATTTCCATAAGTTAAATAACCAAAAAATCCAATTATTAGATATAACATTGTAATTGTAAACATTGTAATTGTAAACATTGTAATTGTAAACATTGTAATTGTAAACATTGAATATGAGATTACTTTGGCCAGTTTTGTGGTTTTTTCATGCTAAATAAATTAAAGGAGAAGAAAAGTGTTAATTAATTAATCATTAACCACAAATGAATTGATTGAATATTTAATTACCTAGCTTCAACATAAGGATAAACTATATTTCCACCATAACTAAAACTGACAGTTTCAAGTGAAATTGGTAAATATCTTATGATGACTATATCATGTAAGTTCTCTTTGTTATCAGGATAATCAATAATTGAAATTATCGCCACAATAAACACAACCAAAATAACCAAAGACTGAAATTTTTTTGATTAGAAAAAAATTAGAAAAATTTTGAATTTTAAAAATTTTTTAATAAAGTTCTTTAAAAACACACATACCTCAATAATGCAACATCTTTCATGGTTTTTAATAGTATGTATGGAATACATATTATACCTGCCACTAAATTTCTCATTCCAAAATCAAATTTAGAAAATAACATTTGCAAATTATCACCAATCAACATCAAATAAAATATTGGTGTGCCAACACTTATACAACTAGAGAAAATTCAACCATCACCAATCCGATTCTACCAAATGCATCATATGCTAATTCAGACATTGGATTCTTATGATGGCTCCTATTATTATCAAATGCAGATGTTAAAAAATCAAAATACATGAAATTAACTGGATATTATTATTACACAACAAAATAGTTACCCATTGTAGTATAAAAATTCAATGAATTTTATATTTGCATAGGTTGTCATTACAGCTGTTAAAATCAAAAACAAGATGGTAATCCATCCACCTTGTTGTAATGCCCAAAGTTCCTGCTCCTGCTACAATACATCTGAGATTATTTGGAAATTGAAAAATTGAAGTTAATAGTGCTTATTCACTATTAATAGTAATGATAATAATTATAAAACTCACACACAACCAATAAATGCATTCCAATCAGATTCTTCCCTCCTTCTTCCCTTCATTATTATTATCAATTTCAACAACAATCGAATAATCTTTTTCAAATAATTTAGAAAAATTAAAAATTAAATTAAATAATATATCTAATATCTATCATATTATAATATAAATTTATGTTAACTGTTTGGTATTGTTTCATAATTATAATTATTGTTACCTCCACTCAAAATGCTGCTTCTATTATTACTCATTATTAAATTTTTCCCAAATAGAAACCATTTGATCTATTTTACATCCTATTTATAGAAAAAAAGATTGATAATAACAACACACGATTACTTGGTATATATTTTTTCATCAATTTTAAAGACAGAGAAAATTTTTGCAGACACAAAGGAATTACAATCAATCAATAACAACAATGGCTTATGATGCTCGTAGTACAAGTGGTGAAAGCCATAACACTAAATCTAATAAATGTAGATTTTTTTTGCTAATAACACAGACTATAGAATTTAATTAAACAGATTCATTAGAATTTTCAAAATCTATGATTTCTCTAGTAACTAACATATTGATATTAAAGCCCATATCCGATGGGGGTTTTAATAAACCAATCACTTTCATCAATAGTTTTTTTAGTAACTTTCTTGATTATGAAAAAGTATTTGAATTTATATTTTCAGCCAACAATTTTACTTGTTCATGCAAACCCTGAAAACACAAAAAGTGTCATGCAAAAATATACCATGAAACTTAAAGCAAACATAAAAATATAACGCCCTGTGTGCCTCCAATGCAATCAAGTGTGTTGACGTAGATATTAATTAACAGTGGCATAGATGGTTTTGTTAGAAATCAGAAACATCGTAACCGGTCATTCATTTCCGCTGATATTTGTTAACCGACCAATGAATTTGTTAGAAATCAGAAACATCATCCATCGGTCATTCATTTCCGCTGATATTTGTTAACCGACCAATGAATTTGTTAGAAATCAGAAACATCATGACCAGTCATTCATTTCCACTGATATTTGATAACCAACCAATGAATTTGTTGGAAATCAGAAACATCATAACCAGTCATTCATTTCCGCTAATATTGATAACTGATCAATGAAATAAGAAACATCATGACTAATCATTCATTTCCACTGATATTTGATAACCAACCAATGAATTTGTTGGAAATCAGAAACATCATGACCAGTCATTCATTTCCGCTGATATTTGATAACTGACCAATGAATTTGTTAGGAAACAGAAACATCATGACTAGAGCTTATGTATGAACTGGCTTAGTGTTCCATGTCACAATCAAAAAAGGAAACAAAATGGTCGTAAAGGCGGTTGCAATCATTTTTATATGATGCAAAGGTGGTAGCAACCATCATCAAAAGTTGAAGCCGGTATCCTTAATGCCTACGATGTTCTTCGTAACAAATCGGTACAATTGATTTATGTGATCATTCGTATTGCAAAACACCACAGGCTGGGTTATGCATCTGCCATAATTCAATCCAATCCTCTATAAAATGTAGAAGTTAAGCCAAAAACTATTACTATTGAAAAAACTCTTAATTTTGAAAAAGTTTCAGGAAAGACACCACGAAACTGCTCTCCAATTTCCTCTAACATATAAGAATTCCCAATTGGTAGTCTGCAACAACCATCCCATGTAGATCGAGGAATATCTTTATGTTTGTATCCTCCACTCATTTCCAAGTGGCCCACTTATATCAATGTTTTTCTTTAATTTCACAAAAAATGCTCCATCTGATTTTTGTTCATAAGAATCTTTACATTTTCTTCATTTTATGCAAGACTTTACACTGATGATAAAACCTCCTCTCCCCTTAAACAAAAAAGGTCAATATACACAATATCTATTGAAAACATCAAATATCACATCAAATAAAATTAAAAGCTACTTCAGTCAGGATTATTACCAAATTTGGAAATCGAATCTAGAAAAATTGGAACTCCTTTGTCGATCAATTTATATGTGTGGCAAACGAGTTAACGTGATACTTTGCTGCCTTTTGAAAATCTTTTTTGTTTTTTAAATAATAATAATAATAATCGAAATAAACAGTATTGAACTTGCTTTTTCATAATCTACTAAAAATCTACAAAAACCTATTAATTTGTTCAAAGTAAGC